CAAAATCGAACTGAAAAACACAAGTTTACATAGTTTAAAAATAGTAGAACAAAATACGTATATACAGATTATAGATACGCTGGTAATACTAATTACAATAACGTAGGATTGCTAATTTACAAATGATATATTAATCTATAGAAGCCTAAAAGGTTAAAAAGAGTTCCATTTGCGTACGCAATATGGCAAAAGACTATCATTATAGCGTTTAGTTCGGGTTTTAAAAAGTGAGATAGATCGGGAATGTCTAAGATTGTACTGATGATCTAAAGGTTCAGGTAATAGATTAAAAATTTTGCTCGAAGTGTCACTATAATTGTTTTTGTGAAAAGATCTGCATAACAATTCCCTTCTCTCCTCGAGAGTGGGCAACTTTAGGTTTTTGAGGCTTTCGGAGTAGGACAAGTGGGGAACAATAATTTTAACTAATAACGCACGTCTCTGAATGTGCTCTAATTCATCAGTCAGGAACTTTGGTAACGAGGTATGCCAGACTGGACACGCATATTCCAAGACAGGTCTGATAAAACTACAATATACTGTCCTAAGATCACTCGGTTGGACACCATTTCTTCTTAATATCCTTAAAGCGTACAGACGTTTGCTTGCTTTGGAGGATATGTGCCTGATGTGTGTATAGTCCACTTAAGATCGGAGGTCAAATTTACCCCCAGGAGCTTGATGGTATTAACAGCCTCCAGGGGTTGGTTATTGACAATCAAGGGTTGCGCCAAGGGTTGATTGATCAAAAATGACACGGTGAAATCTTTAGTTTTTTTAACGTTCAACTTCATGTTTTTCGCACTTGACCACTGGGTCACGTTGTCAAGTTCTTGCTGTAATTTTGGTAGATCCGGTTCACATACTCTAACGACTTCAGAGATTGCACAATCGTCAACATACTTGTACAAAGGCAATTCGCTGGACAGATCATTGACCATTATAAGAAAGAACAGAGGACCAAGTTGGTATCTTGCGGAACTCCAGCTTTTATTTCTTTCCAATCAGATTTACAAGTTTTTAATTTGACGCGCTGCTGTCTGCCTTGAAGAAAACTTGAACACCAGTTTAATAGGACCGGTGGAACATTGAGAAGCTGTAACTTGCGCATCAGAATGTTATGATCAATTCGATCAAACACTTTGGAAAAATCGATGAAGCAGGTTCGGATAATGGTGTTAGGCGTTTCCAGGGCAGAAAGCCAGTAGTGGACTAAATGCACGAGGGCGTGAGTGGTTGAAGACTTTTTCACACTACCAAACTGGAAAGGGTCGATGTATGGCATAACAATAGGTGCAAGCCAGTTGAAAACAAAAGACTCAAGAATTTTGCTCAACACTGCAGTTAGAGATATAGGTCTAAGGTCCGTATCGATAGACTTCGGTCTAGAGATCTTCCCCAACGGGAGGACATCCGCACATTTCCACAGCCCGGGGACACGACCTTCTCTAATAGAAGAGTTAAATATGGAACACACAGGGATGCTAATAGTTGTGGCGCAGGTTTTCAAGAGCCAATTGGGAATCTCGTCATGTCTTACAGACTTGCGATCTTGCACATCCACCAAAGCACATTCTACGGCATCACGGGTAATAATGTACTCATCAGGAATGTTAGAAACAGGTATGGGAGTAAAGTTTAGTTGTGGTATGTCAGCAGCAACACTGCAAAAGGATTTGTTAACAGCGACAGCAAGATCGAAGTCCTTCAAAACAGTGCCATTTACGGCTAAACTTGTTAACGGGGGAGGATTAGAAAGTCCAGACAACAGCTTGATTCAGTCTCGCCACTTTTTAGGATTACTCTCATGCAATGTGATTAATTTTGTCATTGTAGAATCTTTAATTTGGCGTGCCCTCTTGCAAAGTTTTATCACTTTATTGCGATAAACATTATATTGGTGTAAGTCATTATTCAACCAAGCTTGTTGACGTTTCTTAATAGATTCTTTAATAACAGGACTAATCCATAATTTGTCGTTAGGATGATGTTTCACAGTACACATGGGGATACACGAATTGAAAGCAACGTGAACTACCGACTGGAAAGAATGGAAAGAATCCAGTTGTTCCTCGCACGAATTCAGCCGCATCAGTGGCGTCCAGTTAACTGTATTCGGACGAGAGATCAAATTTTGTTTGTTAGGAGCTCGATAATCACGCTTTTGCAATCGTGTGGTAGGTAGACTTGCAGCATGTGTCAAAATGGGTTGTAGTAAGATACTGGAATGATCAGATTGACCAATAGGAGGCAGGATGATGACATAGTAGTTAGGCGACAGAGTTGAAAAAGCTTGGTCAAGGATATTACTTTCCCTGGTGGGCTTGGTAACCAGTTACTTCAATCTAAAAGGGTTGCAGAGTTTACCTGGTTTCAATTGATTGAAATCACCAAGGACCAAGATGGCAGAATTAGGATAGGTGGCAAGTAAAGAATCGAAACATTTGAAGATATGCATTCGAAGAACATGGTCATCGCTCTGAGGAGGATGGTAAACTGTTCCCAATAAAATAGAGTTGATTCCTCGAGGTGAACGTTCCATTCTGATTAGAAACCATTGACTCTCAATTTCTGGCTCACTCAGGTCAGTTAATTCAGTAAAATTAAGTTGTGAGTTGAAATAGGTACAAAGACCGCCCTCCGCGTTGGTTATTCGGTCTATCCCTTCGGCACGATACATAGCCAGGTATACGAATAAGTTCATCAGTTACTCGTGAATTTAACCATGTTTCAGTAATTACGACAACATCGTATAATTCGGTGGAAATTGATGCTGACACCTCGTCTAACTTATTGACCATCGACCTAACATTACTAAACCAAGTCTTGGGGAAGCGTGGAATTGTAACTGATCTCCGCAAGAGGATTAATGAACTATAATCAGGGATACTGATGCACTCAGGCCGTTTGTTTTTCCTGGGTTCCATGATTGAAAGAATCGGGTATTTGTTAAGTTCCTGGTTATGTGAAATGGCACTTACAATGTTTTGAGGGTAAAAACGACGAGATTTGGGTTAGCATATTATCTGCTTCGTGCGACAATGAGGTGTTCCTGGAAGTGCCAAGATTGAGCTCCCAAAAACTAGATGATTCTCCCATTCCGCTATTATTAGAGTTAACGTTTCCACTCAATACCGTACCGCCCCGACAAGGAGGAGAAAAGCGATACATTTTCTTTGAAAGTCTGTTCGCGATTAGAACTGGTGATGACCGTTGTGGAGGTTTTTTTTATTCAAAAACGGGTTCTTGTTGGGGCTGTCCGTGGTCATTATGTGGACAAGGTTTAAGTGATTTAGCCAATCTTTGGTCGGTCGGCGAAGGAGAAAAGTTGGTTTGTATCGGAAATAATGTTTCCGAAAAGGATTTTTCTTACGTTTCTCTAAAGGAACGTATTCGGCCTTGTCATGTGCTATCTTATGACGATTATGTTTGTCAACAAAATTAATTTTTGTATTCGGTGTAGATAATTTACCACTGGGTTGGATACTTTCTACGTCTTGGCTTGTCCTTTGTTTAGGATGCTTATTAATTAGAATTTCGGAAAGCTTGTTGTGGTTTCTTGGCTTGAACGACTCATCGGACATGCTATCAGTTAAGTTATTTGCTGATTTTAAAAGCACACCATTGGGAAGTGTTACAGGCAAGGGGATGTACAATGATCTGTTGTTTTCTTTGTTTAAGTCGGCACTTTGTATATTTATGTCTAAATTAGCATTTCCGTTGCTTTGATTGCTTTTTTGTTTAATTTAAGGGCTCATTAATTATAGATTTGGTCGCTGTGTTTTGGCCAGATTTTGAGATGCAAATTTCAATAAATCACGTTCGTTTTCGACTTGAATTAACTTCCCCTGAAGATTTGTAATAGTCTTGTTCTTCTCTTTTAAAATTACGGAAAACTCTTGGAGAAACGTTTCGAGTCTAAGATCATAAGGTACGTGGCCACTTTCGAGACCTGAAGGTATCAGAATAGCACTCATGGACTCAATAATTGCGTTAATGGAGTCTATGATTGCATTGACAGAGTTCATTTGTGTTTGTAAAGACGCGACGTCCGATTTAATATCGAGACGCATTTCATATCTTTTGTGTCTATCGTTGCTTCCAGAAATGGGACAAGATGGCTTGAATTTCGATATCTGAAACACTGTGAATGCCAGTATCAGAATATCTGGCAACAGGTTGGTTAGCATCATTGCCTTTGACTGCATGCACACCGATGCTCACCAAACCTTATCTGCAAAGATCTTTCAATTTTCCCAATGTAAAGCATGCCACATCTACTGCGTGGGATGCAGAAGAGGTGCACGTCAAATAGTACTTGACATGGTATTGAGATTTTGGTGCCAAAATGGTGTTAGTAGAATATTAATCTATAAAGCAGAGGTTTTGCATTTGGCAACCTGGCAAGGAAACGTGTCATTCTGTGATGACGAATCCCATCTGATTGGTTTAGTTTTTTGTCACGTAATCGTTTTTATATTCTTAGTATAAAGCTCATGTAATTTTCCCAACCCCCGCTAGTAACTCTCTCGAAACGTCGAAATTCTCCTTATATTTTTCAAGTAGTTGCATCCCTACCAACGAAAGCTTGTTATTATTGTCACTACCTACATTGGCACAGACAGTTCAAGATAAAATCATATAATAGATGTTTTGACACAACAGAAGTAACATGTCGTGAATGTCTACATTAACCCACTGAGCGCAATGCACTATATAGTCTAAATGAGTAAACTTGTGTGGCGTTTAAGACACGGTAAAATAATAAGGTATGGCGGAAAGTTTGATTAACCCATTTAGCGCTAGCACTCTCCCTCGACGAGTAAAATTGTCCGGCATTAGATAAAGTAGCTACATTAATAAACCAGGGTGCAATTTAGGATACAATGCAATTTGATGGGTTAAAGACAAATAATAAGATAAGCCTACATTTGCAATCTGTTATACAAATGAATCGAAATATTGTCTAAACATAGTTTTTCTATTTCAATTTCCTTGGGACTTCCATCAATCATTATGGTTACTTTGGTTCTCAAATTTGAAAAAACCTAGTTGTTAGACTTTAAAAGATTTACAGTACATGACACAAGTGAGATTGCTAATATATGGAAAGTCAAACCAAGACGACATACTGCAGTATCTCGATAAGTTGTCCTTTGACGAGTAAAACTATCTCGCATTAGACAGATTGAAATAATAAATTTAGGGGGATCTGGGTACATTGGCACTAAAATGGTTAAGATTTTCGAAGCCAGCGTTCTACAGGGGCTGTTAATTGAACCAAAAATGTCTGAAATGAATGCAAACTTATTAAGGTCTTAAAGATATATTTTGCCCTCGGTACACAAATGTTTCTGGATTTGTGCGAGTAAAAGTGTAAAAATATATCTTGCTTGCAACTATGATTTAAGTTACCAGACGTTTCAGCCATATGCTAATTAAACCCGGAAAACAACACGAACAACCAATACGAAACCAGTTGGTAGTGGTACAACAGTAAACCTGTAAATTGTGAATTCAAAATAAGTAAGATAATACAGACGTGTCAACTAAAGCGAATATGCAGTAGTTTGTCTGAAACTGGATGTATTATAAGATCATAGTTATTGAGGTACAAGTTATTTTATAACTAGTACAACTTTACTGTATGAAAATTAGGTTTCATGATAATCTCAACACTAGCTCCAATAGCTGGAAATTGATTGATATTTTACGTACGTAAATTGTAGCAGTCTTCAAACTGTGCATGTATATATAGCAATTTATACATTTACTTCAAAGTACTGTTAAATACTTTCCCAAACTAAGAAGGGACAAAGAGCTAGTTCATTTAAATTACTCCCTGCCACATAGACATGGAGAACATAGACATAGTTTGACTTTAATTGATTGCTGGTTCACAGGAAATCACAGCTAGAAAATTGTCAGGTATAGCGTCAGGAAGTTCGTTCCATAGTAGATATACTTGTTACAATTTGTTTGATATAACTAGTGTAATATTTCCTCAGAAAATCCAAATTAACCCACTGAGCGCAAGTGTTCTTCCCTTGACGAAGAAAATTGTTTGGCGTTAGACAGACCAAAATAATAAAATTTGGCCACATATACGGCGCAATGCTACGTACTACCAGTTAACTGGACACATGGGTAGATAGTCTGATTAACCTATTTAGTGCCAACGCTCACTGCATGACGATTAAGATCGTCTGGTGTTAGACAGAGTAAATAGTATAGTAGGTTGAGTTACTGTAGGGTGTATTGCAACTTAATGAGTTAAGTCTTGTTTTGCATGCAGTAGTACCATTTCGGAAAAATAACCAATGCGTGTATATGGTAATGTTTCAAAACTAAATATATATAGTCACGAAAATTTTACAGATTTCCAACTTTTAACCAGTAAGTTGCAATGCAACCTAATGCGCCCTACTTTAATATTTTATTCTTAGACGATTTTGCTCGTCAAGGAGAGAATGAAAGAACTTTATAGTTGGTTAATTAATCAGATTATCTGTGCATGTGTCTGGTGAAGCCATTAAGTTGCATTGCGCCCTAATGAGGTGTACTTTATTTTTTTACTCTGTCAAAACCCAGACAATTTTACTCGTCAAAGTGAAAACGTGGCGCTCAATGTGTTAATCCCAGCTTATATAGTTGCTAGCTGACCATGCTGGTAATTACTGTAGAGCTCTATCTTAGATTTTGCTCATCGTCTATCATTGTTGCGGCTTTTCAAGGTTTTTGTCATTTAGTTTAGGCAGTTCTTCTGGTTACTTTTGATTCTGAATTTTAGTACAAGCTGTTGCTTTAACTCACCACACTCTAATAAGAACATATGGCAATACCTCGTTGTACTTTCATCTCGTGCCGACCCATTAATTAGTACAAGGAAATTTCCTTCCCGAGTGATTAGATCTTGTCTCTTTCAAGAGAGCTAACCCAGCAAACAAGCCAGACCATGCAGAATGTAAAGACATGGGCAAAGTATACTGTAACAATGGCAAAACACATTGTGGCTAGATTAGAACCATATTTCATATTTCTACAATATTTACCCCTCACCATTACCCATAATTGAGGGTGGGAAAGGGTATTTTCGTGAGCCGTGAATCAATATTTGTTAGCGTGAAATGTGAAAAGCTTGATTTTAGTGTCGTGAAATGCGATTTGTTCTACAGCAGAGAGGCGTGAATGTTGATAAAATGCTCCGCGAAATGAGAATTAAGGATTCCTGTTTCGTGAACTGTGATTTTGCTTTGTCTGATTTCGATCTGTCTGTTTCTGACCGTTTCAGTGCAAGCTAGCGTTCTCCTAGCTCAACGTTACGCTACGTACTGATTTATTTGATTGAGGTTTTCAATTGGCAGTTATCGGGTTCGTCGCAAAACCAACGCACGCACAAACATAGCAAGGTAAAAACAATGCCTTCAAGTGTCACTACGGAGTCACATGAGATTTGAAAGTCCTGCGACAGTGAAGAACCCACTCCGACACATGAATGGATAAACAAAATGTATTTGTTTTAGTAACCCAACTACATTATAACTACTAAACTGTTGTTACTGTTTCAACATCTGCTGTGTTGAGAATTGTTAAACCAAAATTTTCAGTTTCAATATGTTTATCATAAAACTTTGCAAAGGTAGAGGAATTGGACCAGCCAGCAGATTGCATTATTTGTTTTAAATTAAGTCCTGCTGCTTTGACACACGACGTTGATGCAGCCCGAGTGCTGTGACACGTGAATTTATCTGTATCAATTCCCGATTGCTGTAGTACTGATTTGACCCATCTGGCAATGGTGTCTTTGGTTACCGCTTTATGGGGCTTTACGTAGCTCACAAATAGTTTTGATTCTTCACCTCTGAGAACAGTAGTTCCTTTGATATATTCTTTAAGGTACTCTAACACACAAACTCTTTTGTCCCTCGGGTACGAACGAAGTTCCAAAGGCACTTGGTGTTTTCCAGCCTTAGTATGTTTTAAACTTTCTCTAATTGTAATAATGGATTTGTCCGTTTCCAATTGGATAAAGTTCATATAATCATATCTATCTTGTGTATTGTTTGACACCTTTGTCCCGTTAGTAAACACAATAAAGTGGCAAGATTTATTGTAAGGTCTTTTAAACTGACTTCAGAAACTGAAGTAAACTGTTGTAGGTAATATAAAATAATATAAAATAACGTTATTTACATCCCAAATTACAGCGTATTTTGGGAGGCAAGGTTTCAGTTCAAATACCCATCTTAGAAACCGGCAAACTAAAGGGTCCCTCCCAAATGGAATTCCTGCCGTGGGTATTATCACTGACGATAGTACTGATCGAGCTGTGTTTATAGCACTATATCCTACACCTGAGACATATAGTTCCCTTAGAAATTCGATAGCACATGCTTTCCCAGGATTGTGAGTTGCGACATTTTCTCGATTACAATATTCCTCACATCGTAAAAGATATGATTTATATTGTTTCTGAGTGCCTTGCGCAAAGAAGCCATTATAATTTATTTCGTGGACTCTGGCAGATTTAGGAGCTTAAAACTTTCCCGGAGAAGAGGCAAATCATCATTGACAGATCTTTGAACAATGGATGTGTCTCGTTTGGATGGCTGGGAAGTATGAACAGGTCTTTTGACGCTTGTAAATGTATGGGTGGTTTTTCCCCCATGGAAAGGGCTTTCGCATACCAAGGTTGTGTTGACCAATTTGGAAGCACAACCACCCCCCTTGCTTTGTCTTCCTTGATCTTGCTTAAAAATTCCCTATAAGACTGAAAGGAGGAAAAGCATAAAACATGAGTGATCTCCATGTTAGAGTAAATGCATCTACTGCTGATGCCTGTGGGTCTGGCCTGTATGAAACACATGTACCAAATTGTTTATTAATTTTTGAGGCAAATAGGTCAATACTTGTCGAGTAATCTAAGTCTTTTAATGCTTTGGCTAAACGTAGTTTATCTAGCATCCATTCCGATGCCTTTTCATTTCTTCTTGATTCAAAATCTACAATAAAATTATCTTGCCCTGGTATATGGGCAGCACTTTTCCATACTTGCCTCTCAATACATCAACTCCAGACCTGATGGGCTAAAATATTAACATTTAAGAGAATGGCTTGAACCCATGTTGTTGATAATGCCGACTGCAGACGTGTTGTCTATCATTAGCATTATATGTAGGCTACGTCTTGTTTTTGCAAACGTTTTTAAGCTCAAAAAGGTAGCTAATAATTCTAAATAGTTTATGTGTTCGTTTCCATCAAAATGTGACCACAACTCACCAGTGGCTACACTCTGACATTCAGCACCCCAACCTTGCAGGGAAGCATCTGTTGTAATAACTTGGAATGGTTTCCCATGTGAAATGGGTTTGAATGCATCTTTACTTTGTTTGTCCACCATTTTAACTCTAATATACTTTCTTTAGAGAGGGTCATTCTAGCATCAAAATTACCATTCTTCCTAGCTAAAGCTGAGGTTTTGTCCCTTTCTAAATGTTGATAGTAGAGAGGTCCGTGCAGGACCCCAGGAAAAATTGATACTATTTTCCCAATAATTTGAGCAACTTCTCGAATTACAATATTACCAGGGCATTTATTAAGAAACAAAACACAATCTGACTTTAGGGCCAGTGCTTTCTCTGGTGTCAGTTTGACAGTCATTTTTACTGAGTTTATTATAAACTCCCAAATCACTATTTCTTGTGATGTGATGAAATTACATTTTTCAGGATGGACTAACAGGCCCAGTTGTGTAAAAAGTGTTACTGTATCTATTAAATTTAAGCAACATTCCTCAGGGGTTTTGCGCTGTAAATAGAAATCATCTAAATGACTGGAAACAATGTGTCCTTTGATACGTAATGACGACAAGGCAGGTTTAAAGATCTTAGTAAATTTTCTATGGCCGCTCGACACCCATTTGGTAGGCAAATAAAAGGTGAAGTTGATTATTCCAATAAAATCTCAAATATTTCCTGTCTCTTTCCAGAATAGGTATTGAATAATAGGCATCTTTGAGATCTATTGAGGCCATAAAACAATCGTTATCAACTAATTTGGCTATAGTGTTTAATGAATCCATTTTTAAATGATTATAGGATACATGTTTATTGAAATCTTTTAGATTAATGATCATTCTATGAGTGCCATCCTTTTTAGGTCTTGTAAAAATGTTTGAGATAGTTTCATCTTTTGTATGTTCGACTTGTTCTATAATTTCTTTTCCCCACATTTTGTTGATTTCGGTCTCAATGCTCTCAGTTTCTGCACTGTTAAATTTTGTTTGGACAAAGCGATGTTGGACTGGCATTTCTGACAATTCAATGGTCATGCCCCGAGTGTCAGATAAGATCTCTTTATCTGATGTCATGCTTGTCCAGGCAGAAAAATGATTTGAGATACGAACAGTTTTTAAACTGGCACACAATTGTTTTAAATAATCCATTAAAATAGGAATAAAAATTTTCCATTTACTTACTGGAGAAACACATGAATTTATTTTCTTTAAGTGAGCGACTATTTCTTGCGAGGTGGTTGGTATTTTGCACCCTTTTTCCATTTGTAGTTCGATTTTCCTCATTGGAAAAAATCCGACCGAGAAGTGCAAGCATGGTAATTATGCTCCCCACGTGTTTGGCGCCAATTTCGCTGGTCATAGCTTTTTGGCGCTCGATACTTGTTGTTTCTTGAATTGCTCGTATTCACAGCAAGCGTGGGACAAATGTGTGACAATGCTCGCCTCCTTGGCGTCTTCTAGTCGTTTGCGTAAATCATCGCCAAACAAATATTTACTTTGCGTGCCATTAAGAACACATATTGAGGCATATTCTGGTTTCAAAACGGATTTTATTTTGTATCTGTTAAGGCACGTCAACTCATAACTTATGTGGCCCAATAAAGCTAACGAATCAACTTGCTGTGTTTAAGAGCAGCTGTTTTACATCTAGCTCGTTAGACTTTGTATTAGTCAAAGAATGAGCTGTTTGCAGAGATATAAGGGCAGCTTTCCGAACCGATTCTTGTATTTTCGAGATATTTAAATCCGCCCGTTGTTGATAGTGCGGCAGTTTTGCCCAGATTTCTGGGTTTACTGTTAGTGAGCATACTGTTGCGCAATTGGCGGGTCGCTTGTATTTTTCTTGAATTAATGTCAGCTTTTCCGGCGCTAGTTTTTTATTCCATCGGTTTTCCGCTATAGTAGCCAGTTTAGGGGTAATATCATTGCTGGCAGGTTCAACATCTTTAAGCATTTCTCCTAAATTCGTAAGGGTTTCATCGGTTGAATTTGTTTTGGCATTTGTGGTGCCATCTTGACGTAAGACCGTACATTATCATCATCGTCTTGCACATGTACGCTCACTTTATCCTGCTTATAATCGGTCGTTTCGCCCCTATTTACAAGCCGAGTTTTGCTATGTGACCTACGGTTTCGGCGCTGACGACCCCGACTCTCATTTCCAGAACCCGAGCTGGCTTCTGAAGACGAGGACGACCTTGAGAACCGCGTTTTTGAGCGCCGCTTTTTGCCTTGTCGCCTGTGCTGGGATTCTTCAAAGACTGGTTGTTGAAGTGACACATATGTTTCCTGAGACGGGCATAAGTCGCCCAGCATCATTGCCATGTGGCTCATAGTTTGATTTAGATCAACCAATGTTTGAGCCAATTGTGGAGTTTCGGACTGTTGTGGGTCCTGCGGCTCGAGGTCATTCGGCTGTGAAACAATCTGTTTTGTGCTGTCAGTCGCCATATCTGTTTTGGAACTAAAATACACACATAAGTTTTATACTTACGGTTTTTGTCCCACGAAAGCCTCCGTTATGAAGCAGTACGCAAATTTCAATTGATCACTTTGCTACAACAGCGTCTCACCGTATAAGGAGTAGTGAAGTATGTCACCATTCTATCAGCGACCATAGTTTGATATATGCAGTGCGTCGCATGATAATACCACGCGAGCGACCTAGGATTATTGAGACTCGTAATTATAAAACCTTTGACATGAATGCATTTACCGACGATTTAAAAAAAGATACCATGGGAACTGTTGAACAGATTTCATGATCCATGAAATGTGGCAAATGTTGAAGGCTTTTTTAATACAGTTTTGGATGCTCATGCACCAATTAGAACTAAACGAGTTAGAAATCGTGATGCCCCTTGGATTACATCCGATATTAGAGATACGATGAGGAACAAGGTTAATAATAAGCTAAAAACAGGCAAAAGAAATTACTTTATTCAAAACCTTGAGGCGAATAAATGCTTGTAATGATGACATTTCTATGTTGAAATAAAGTTTATACATACATACATACATACATACATACATACATACATACATACATACATACATACATACATACATACATACATACATACACACACACACACACACACACATACTTGCATTTGCGTAGTTGTGGGGACTTAAGATCAAACCAGCCTTATGGGGACCTGTGTATAAAAAAAGATACAAACAGCATTATGGGGACTTGCCAGTGTTAAACATTGTGGGGACTTGCGCTTAATTTTAGGCATAAAATTTTAATTTTAGGCATTTTTTTTCATTGTGCACATTACTAGCCACTCAAGCGCATAACAAATGACAGTTGTTAAGAATAATCAATAACGGCCTACAAGGCGAATAAAACGTGTCCATGCATAACTTTTGTCTCTTTGAAATTATACTAGTTTAGTCGGGGGTGTATTAGTCCAAAAAAGTGCAAGAGATTTTTTGGATTTTGAAAATCCCTTGGGGTTTTTCAGGGATATGTTGGGGGATTTTTCAAGGATTTTTGGTAGTTGGAAGATTTTCTGAGAATTTTGAGGAATTTTATACGGATTTACGGAACATTTATTGGGAATTTTCGGGAATTTTAGAAATTTGCTTTCAGGCGTACGAGACTTTTTAGAGCGATGCATCCCTCGAGTTTAGTGTCATAGAATAGAATAAAAAAACCAAGATGTTTATAGAATTTTGATGAAAGCCTATTTGATGAAAGCCATTGTTCGACTGTTTCAGACTCGGGTTGAACATGAAAGCATAGCTGTCGACATTTGTTTAAATGTAATATTTCATGATACTTGTATAAAGGAGGATATAATGACTACCAGCGTAATGCATTGTGGGCAGCAATTATTGCTGGCGGCCATTTTAGTCATTTGAGCCTTGGTGCTGCGGAACCAATCTCTGGAAATCATTGCCGATTTTATCTGATTCTTATTGCGGACGCGCTCAACAAGCATTCTTAACGTTGATATTGTTTATTAGCTAAAAAACAATAAAAGCCTTCGTTAACATACACTCAACCTGTATAACTACATTATGAGGACTTAGAGACAATTGAGTCCCCACAATGTTTGTTGTAGATTTTTACACAGTAACTTATACACTCGACCTGTATAACGACATTATGAGGACTTAGAGACAATTAAGTCCCCACAATGTTTGTTGTAGATTTTTACACAGTAACTTATACACTCGACCTGTATAACTATACATTATGAGGACTTAGAGACAATTAAGTCCTCACAATGCAAAATTCCTGTGTAAGTCACAACAATGTTTGGTAGATTTATCCACGTTTTATAGAACCAATGTCGCATACACCCCCCGGAAAGTTTACACTATTATGCCTGATCCCTGACTCATATGAATTTTCCCCCACTCATCACAATACTTGTCAAGTTTCGAAGAAACTTGACGCTAAAAACCAGTTACGCAGATGTTGTGGCATCCCACTCTGTGCAAGAAAATCATTCTAAAGCCGAACAACCTGAAGTGATTATGTTGTCTCCTGGTCCTGAAGTACAGCGAACTATTCAGTCAGCAAAACCGAAAAAATCATTAAGCTGTAATTCTCACGATTGCTTCATCAGAGTAGATCGAAAACGACGAAAGAATAAAAAGTTTTTCTTATAATCTTACAATACCGGTATGATTAATATCTCGAAAGCGCAAAAACACCGAACCGATACGTTGTCCACGTAATCGTCCATTAATTTCGATTCTTACGCGCTCAAAACTACCGTCTTCGTTCCCAAAATTCATTGTCAACAAATCTATCGTCAACAACGATCTATGGTCAACAAATTCAGGGAAACGTTTCAGCTAACAAATGCGATATTCCAAACTTTGAAACTCAATGGTTATTACTTAAACCCAACCGCCTTCCTACCGGGATCAACTCAATTATAGTAGCTACAATTTATCAAGCCCCTGGATTACCTATTGCGGAATCATATATACCAAAATCTGGACAAAACCCAAAACGCTTATCCAAACTCTGGAATTATTTTGCTTTTAGATTTTTTCAATTCAATCCTGGTAGATCTGTGCACGTTATTTAAGCTGAAGAAACGTGTTCATTCTCCAACTCGCGGGTCCATAATGCTCGATCAAGTTTATTCATGCCTTGAAACTTTACCAAAAGTTAATTGGATACATTGGTACCACGCCAACACCGTCGAAGAAAAACTTGGAGTTTTCATGAATGAAGTTTCCACAAAAATAAATAACGACCTCCCATTATATGTACGATATGTTAAAAATTGCCCCATGGACAAACCTTGAAAAACAGCTGCCATCAAAGATGCTATAGACGTCAACGGGCGTGAATAAATCGTAATTTTACCAGTTACACCTTCTACCGTAAAAAAAGAGTAGCAAATTGCGCAGGAAAGATCGCCGATCATTTTACTCATCCACTGTGAAGAATTTTAAAGAGTGTAATCCTAAGAAATGGTGGAACAATGTTAAACGTCTGTCTGGATTATCAAATAAACAACAATTTACCAGTATCCATCACCCAATGTTTCCTGTCATGACGTACCTCCACTGAACGTTACCCTGTCGAAGTGGCCTCAGTCCCATTTGACGTCTACGATGCATTATTAGACACCTTAAGATCGACGTTTATTTTCTTTACGCCTAACCGCAAACCGCGGTTTGCCATTAGCGGTTTCACGTTTGCCGTACTTGCAAATATGAAATTAAGATTGACGTTTTTCTTCGCGTTCAATTTTTTTCCGACGAAACTATAGGATCCATTTGAATTGTGCCATCCTGTCAAAAAAACAAATGTCACTACCAATTTGTTAAAATGAATTGAAATATAAAAGTATAAATTACGTAAGTAAGAAATATGCAAGTATGTTTAAACACGGACTGTGAAAAGGTCATCAATGATTTTGAACTTGCGTTATCGTAAATGTTCAAATGTAAACGTTTATTAATTAAAACGATTCAAAACACGATACCAAAATCGGCCACAAAATATTGAACTGACAATCGAAATTTTCATGTTTGTTTAACCCAAATAAATTATAGAGTCGATTGCCGGCGGCATGTTGTCTATATATCGAATTTATACATGGTTCGGTTAAAAGCAGTCAGAATATGAAAATTTCCCGTTGAAAACAACTTTTTTCCATCCAAATCAAAGATAAGATGTATATTTGTCTTAATATATGTCATATACATGCAATGAAGTAATAACAGTTGAATAAAATGCTGAGGTAAATCACTTACCTGTAGAATGCACTCTTGAGGTTTAAAACGTGAGCGATTTACGGCAAACGTGACGGCAAGCTCCTGGTCACGTCGTTTCTAGCGGTTAGCGGTTAGACGTTTGCGAAAAATACGTCAATCTTAAGGTGTCTAATACGTATCAATGCCCACAAAACTCCTGGACCAGATGAAATACCCGATTGGCTGTTCAAATCTAATGCTAACACTCTTTGCTCCCCGGTAGCATCAATAGTCAAACGCTTCAATTCGTCAAGTAATGTTTCTCCTAGAGCTGTGGAAATCGGCCAATGTTTTACCAATTATAAAGAAAAACACCGCTCAGGTTACAGATGACGATCTCCGACCAATCTCCTTAACTCCTACAATCAGTAAAATCCTCGAAGGCTTCGCTTTAAGTGGGTATTTGAACAGATCGTACATTATATCGATCGGTACCAATACGGGAACATGAAGAAGTGCCCTACCACTCTTGCTCTTATTCACATGACCTTCCGACTCTACCGGTTCAGTGATATACACGCTTGTATGATAGACTTTTCCAAGGCGTTTGACAGAATTGATCATAATATTCTCATCAATAAGCTGTAAGCACTTGGTGTCCGTCCCTGTTTAATAAACTGGTGCGCTGATTTCCTACGTTGTCGATATTCAAGAGTTAAAGTTGGAACAAACATTGGAAAAGAAGCTGAAAGTGGAGAACGACTAATGTATAGACCAAATAAGTGGAATAAAGAGGAGAGAACGAAGGAGAAAATAAGGAAAAAGAAAAATTAGTATGCGAAAGGAGGAAACGAATCAGCTATAACAAGGTTGCAACTACAAAGAGAATATCAACAGAGATCAGAAACCTAGATTTTAACATCAAGTTAAGAGGAAGGATGTCATGAAGATGTCATCATGAAAATCCGTTCAAAACAGAGAATTGTGGCAAGAATGGCTGTCTAGCATGTACAACGGGGGAAAAGGACCTTGCGGTGGGCATGGAATGACTTATGATTATACGATGCAATACTTGTAATAATGTTTATGTGGCCGAAACGTCAAGAAGTACGTATGTCAAAAGAGGGGAATATGTCAAGATATATGAAGGAGAAAAGGACAAATCTACTCTATGGAAACATGATTGTAAGGACAAGCATGATAGTGAGGTACAAACATTTCAGATTAATGTGATAGGGAAGTATGGAAATGATACGATGTTGAGCAGATGTCGGAGAGTGTGAAGATGAACAAGATAAAGAAAGGCAAATTGATGAACTCAAAAACCGAGTCGAATTATTTCGAAATTCCCCGAGTACTAATAGAATGAAGAGTGAGACACTAAGTTGACGGTTATATAAAGTTTCAACAAGCTATTTTAACTACATGAACTACATAGAAATTTAAAAACAAGATGGCTCAGTACTGAAGAGGCTGTGTTATTGCGTGTTATGTGTGTCGATGTCTTCGAAAAGCACAAATTTACCAAGCTCTTTCCTCGCTTCAACTACAGAAATTTCCCAATTATATAATATAATCCAAAGGATAGCATATCGGAGAACAGTTGGTTTTTCACCTCAACTAATTCAGCTGATAAACACCGCCCAAACGCTTTGCGTGAAGATCTCATATCGCGTTTTCAGACGACCTTCTTCTGGTTGGACTTAGGGTCTCGAAGTCTGGGAGAGACGGCAATTACAGAATAATCAGAAAGGCCGAAGGGCAGAAAATTAATGCGATGATGGAGTACGATAAATAGAAAGTATCTAGATTTGTGAGGACTAGGCGAGGAATATTGCCCCACTTGTTGTTTTAAACCAAAGTTTATGGATAACAATTTTATATCTAAGCGATTAACGTCACCAGCCAAAATTAATCCACAACCAGAGTAGAGATTCCCAACCCGAGTCAGTGATGGAATTAGGCACTCCAAGATTTCATTATCATCTGAGGACGGGGGGTGGTAGAAAGTAGCAGTAACTATGCACGAAACACCACTGAGTAACCTGGCCGGCCATACATAAACCCACGTAACTTCCAAAGTATATGAACGAGATGTTTTATATTTCGAATTGGAAAATAAACAGACGTCCCATGAATTCTAATTCGACGATCCAACCATTCAAGGTTGTAGGCTTGTAGCCAGGGAGGATAAGTTGATCATCCCCAACATTACTTTTTAGACAACGACGCCGTAGGCTATAGGCATCGATTCAGACCCATCGGAGTGGGGATTTGCAAGACCCCACAATGTAAAACTCCTGTGCAATATTTGGTACATTTTTACACATTAACTTGGACACTCGACCTGTATAACGTCGGGGAAATGCACCACCACTCCTAAAGTTGATCATATAGAAAGAATTGGTTTCAATACCTTTCTTCGACCGTTTGGACCATAAGTCATCCTGCCACGTATGCTGTTCTGCATTATATCCAAAGCTGCTTTACCACAGATGGGGAGAGGGAATATACAGCACATCTAGAAAATTGGAGGATAATATAAGTGAGTGTAGTATCAAAAGGCTTTGGTCATATTTGAGAAGTTCTTCCTCGCAAACAGCAATGCACAGTCTGCGTAAAGACTGTCCTTCCCCCAGTGGTGGAAGGATAGCAATCTGCGATCAACGAATGCGTTTGCTGTACAGTGACGTTGCCGCATGGTCGTTAATTTTATTATCCAATCAAGTGCGTTGTTTTATAAATAGACATTATGCATTATGTAAATAAGGTGCATGGTCGTTACTCGTTAGGCAATAAATAGACATGCTAGACAAGGTCAAACAAAACAATACACGAAGCGTTAACTATCAAACTAATATGCCAGATTTGTAAGTTCTGTAAGTAAGCAAATTCGTTGATCTCGTTGAGATTCGTTGAAATGCTGTTTCGTGTGGCAATATCTTGCCAACAACACCGAACAACCGTTTGTAATGAGCAATTAATCTGCTGCCTGAATACAAGTCGTTTTAAAATTAGGCAAATTTACGCGAGTATAATTTTAAAACGAACCAATCAAAAACGAGTCTGGGTTTTTGTCGAGGGTTGAGGTTTGAAAGTCGAGGTCGAGGTTTGAAAGTCGAGGTCGAGGTTTGAAAGTCGAGGTCGAGGGTCGAAAGTCGAGGTCGAAAGTCGAAAAATTGATTTCATTGGTGCTGTTGAATTTGAGTAGAATGCTGAATGGTGTAAAAGCTTGAAAAACTATATACTTTTTTCGATTTACAGAGAGTTTCGTAAATATTAACACGAGGGTTTGATTAGTAAGTTATATTAATGATACTAAATTTAGATTCTGTCCTGTTTACATGAACCCAGTTAGCCGGGACGCGACGTTTTCATCCCGCCTAGCCGGGAAACTCGTCTAGGTCGGGCGTGTTTATATGGAAAGTTACACTACCGCGGGATGAAGCCTTAATTAAATGTGAATGTTTAATGAAAATGAATGTTTTTAAGCTTCTTTATTACAAACTCATCCCGGCTGAGCGGGATGGAGTGTTTATATGGGAAATATTCGTCCCGGCTAGGCGAGATCTCGGCATCTGCTGCCGGGATCCGGCTTCTATCCCGGCTAAGCGAGATCCCGGCAGCAGATGCCGAGATCTCGCCTAGCCGGAACGAAAATTTCCCATATAAACACTCCATCCCGCTCAGCCGGACTAACTTACTAATCAATATCTCGTGTTAATATTTACGAAAAGAGGTCCTGTAAATTGAAAAAAGTATATAGTTTTTCAAAGTTTTTACACCATTCAGCATTCTACTCAAATTCAAAAGTACCAATGAAATCAATTTTTCGACCCTCAACCTCGACTTTCCAACCTCGACTTTCAAATCTCGACCTCGACTTTCAAACTTCGTCTTCGACTTTCAAACCTCAACTTCGACTTTCGAACCTCGACTTTCATACCTCGACTTTCGACCCTCGACTTTCAAACCTCAACCTCGACTTTCAAACCTCGTCTTCGACTTTCAAACCTCGACTTTCGACCTCGACTTTCAAACATCGACTTTCAAACCTCAACCTCGACTTTCAAACCTCGACTTTCAAACCTCGACTTCAACTTTCAAACCTCAACTTTCAAACCTCCACTTTCAAACCTCGACCTCGACTTTCAAACCTCGACTTTCAAACCTCGTCTTCGACTTTCAAACCTCGACTTTCAAACCTCGACCTCGACTTTCAAACCTCAACTTTCAAACCTCGACCTCGACTTTCAAACCTCGTCTTCGACTTTCAAACCTCGACCTCGACTTTCAAACCTCGACTTTCAAACCCCGACTTTCAAACCTCGACCTCGACTTTCAAACCCCGACTTTCAAACCTTGACTTTCAAACCTCGACTTTCAAACCTCGACTTTCAAACCTCGACCTCGACTTTCAAACGTCGACCTCGACTTTCAAACCTCTACCCCGACCTTCAAACCTCATAAAAAACTGCCGACCAGTTTCTGCCGGTAGTGCTGGGGATGCTAAAAATTGTCTAGTCAACAAGTCTTGCCCGAACATGTCTTGCATACATTATGATGTCATGTGCACATCCTCACTTGTATACTAATTACCTCACCCCTGTATGCATGAATACTAATTAACTCGCTCTTATTTATTTAAATAAACTCACTCTCATAATGATAATGTGCGCACTCCCATGCATGGTAATTAGTGGCTTAGTGCGCACTCGCACTCACTCTCAAAAGTAAAGCCCGAACGGTAGATAGATAGATAGATAG